AAAAATTTAAATAAATGGGGGAAATAACACAAAATTTGGGCAAAAATTTAAATAAATGGGGAAATAACCCGAAAATGGGGGAAAAAATCACAAAAATTGGGTAAAAAATAAATAAATGGAGAAACAGAACTGAAAATTGGGATAAAAATCCCAAAAATGGGGAAAAAAGAACCTTGAAAATCTTGAAGGGGTTTTGGGGTATTTTGGGTTATTTTGGGTATTTTCAGGGAGGTTTTGGGGTATTTTGGGTTATTTTGGGTTATTTTGGGTATTTTCAGGGAGCTTTTTGATATTTTGGGTTATTTTGGGGTATTTTGGGTATTTTCAGGGAGTTTTTTGGTATTTTGGGGTATTTTGGGGTGTATTTGGTTTATTTTGGGTGGTTTGGGGTGAATTTTGGGTGATTTTGGGGTGTTTTGGAGCTGGTTTTGAGGTGTTTTTAGTGTATTTGGGGTTTTTGGAGGTGGTTTTGGGGTATTTTTGGGTGGTTTTGGCGTATTTTGTGTTCTGGGGTGTTTCAGGGATATTTTGGGGCTATTTTGGGGTATTTTGGGGATTTTTGAGGTATATTTGGGGTGAATTTGGGTTTTTCTGGAGTATTTGGGTATTTTTGGGGATATTTTGGTGTATTTTTGGGGAGTTTTGGGGGGTTTTGAGGTATATTTGGGGTGAATTTGGGTTTTTTTGGAGTATTTGGGTTTTTTGGGGCATTTGGGGGATATTTTGGGGTATTTTTGGGGCATTTTGGGTATTTTTGGGACATTTTGGGGTATTTTGGGGGAGTTTTGGGGGTTTTTGAGGTATATTTGGGGTGTATTGGGGTTTTTGGGTTGTATTTGGGTTTTTGGGGTATTTGGGGGATATTTTGGGGTATTTTTGGGGAGTTTTGGGGTATTTTGGGGGTTTTGAGGTATATTTGGGGTGTATTTGGGGTTTTTTGGGGTATTTGGGGGATATTTTGGGGTATTTTTGGAGCATTTTTGGGTATTTTTGGGTATTTTTGGGGCGTTCTTGGGGTATTTTAGGGGAGTTTTGGGGGTTTTTGAGGTATATTTGGGGTGTACTTGGGTTTTTTGGGGTATTTGGGTTTTTTCGGGGTATTTGGGGGATATTTTGGGGTATTTTT